GGGGGCAGTTCGGCGTGTCCTTGGGGGATGGGGTGTCCCAAGTGAGATGCCTCCAAGGGGCACGGAGGGCGCCGCGCCCTCTTCTGGGGTCCCTGGCCAGTGCCCACTCCCGGAGGTAGACCCAGGCTGTTTGCCCGCAGATTCGGGGTACCTGCCGGGCACTTTCCGAGGGGCGGCCCCTAGCCCGGTAGGAGCCCCCTTGGCTAACCCACCGGTGTTTTCTCCCGTTCCCGCTCACTGTCCTCGGGCGCGTCCGCAGAGCAGACGTACGGCGAGGTCAACCAGCTGGGCGGCGTGTTCGTCAACGGCCGCCCCCTGCCCAACGCCATCCGCTTGCGCATCGTGGAGCTGGCGCAGCTGGGCATCCGACCCTGTGACATCAGCCGGCAGCTTCGCGTCTCCCACGGCTGCGTGAGCAAGATCCTGGCGCGCTACAACGAGACGGGCTCCATCCTGCCCGGGGCCATCGGGGGCAGCAAACCCCGAGTCACCACCCCCAACGTGGTCAAGCACATCCGGGACTACAAGCAGGGCGACCCCGGGATCTTTGCCTGGGAGATCCGCGACCGGCTGCTGGCCGACGGCGTCTGCGACAAGTACAACGTGCCCTCGGTGAGCTCCATCAGCCGCATCCTGCGCAATAAGATTGGCAGCTTGGCGCAGCCCGGGCCCTACGAGGCGAGCAAGCAGCCGCCGCCGCAGCCGGCGCTGCCCTACAACCACATCTATCAGTACCCTTACCCCAGCCCCGTGTCGCCCTCCGGAGCCAAGATGGGCAGCCACCACGGGGTCCCGGGCGCCGCAGGCCACGTCAGCATACCTCGCTCTTGGCCCTCGGCGCACTCGGTCAGCAACATCCTGGGCATCCGGACGTTCATGGAGCAAACAGGTCAGTCGTGGAGGCCTCTGCGGCCTTGTGCGGGAAGGGACAGAACTGGAGATGAGGGGGTAGGCAGGGGGTGAGGGGTAACTCCTCGCCCTGCTTGGGCCCGTTTTGGCTCAGGGGAGGGCTAGGGCTGGCCAGGGAGCCTGAGGGTCCCGGGCCTTATGTGGGGGACATCTTGAACTTTTTATGACAAATATGGAAAATATTTCCCGGAAGAGCAATCGCCGACCACAAATTTGGAGGCCTGAAATTGTGTGTTTTTTTTTTCTTCCATACTTGCAAAAAGTATGCAAACCCCTATGGCCAGATCTAAGTCAAACAAATCAGTCAATCCTGCGGCCCTTCCTTAAGAGTCTTTCAGGATCCCTCACCGTTTCCCAAGAGGTTCTGACCCCCTCCCTCCCCCCCAAGCCCAGAGCCTCTTAGGAGTAAAAGGCAGAGGGGCCGCCTGGCCGTGTTATTTAGTGACCTACATCTCGGGCAGGCCTGGCGGCCTTGCAGGCTCTGGAGCCGGGATCTCCAGCGACGGCGCCCCAGGAGCGCAGCCATCCTGGAATTGCAAGCACAAGGATCTGCCCTTGGCCTGTGATTAGGACTCAGCAAGCTCCTTGGTCTTCTCTCTCAGGGGAGGAAGGGGGTGGAGTAGGGAGAGGAGATGGGGCGGCCTTGGTGCGGGGCTCGGGAAGATCGCGCGTGGGCCGCACTGAGTGGCCAGTTTCTTGGCACTGTCTCCTGTCCCCAGCAGCCGGGCTGGGGATGGCACGCTCTTAGGTGAGTAAGAGAGAGGCCGGTAGGAAGCACAGCTCACCGGAGCCCAAGAGAGGAGGGGGTCGGGGCGGCGGAAAGAAACGGAAAGTTTAGACCCGGGGGCAGTGGGGCGCGCTGCCCAGGCCGCGAACCAGGTTTGTTTTTTCTGGTGGCTCAAATCCCAGCCTGGGCCACCGGCTGGGGTCAAAACTTCCCCTGGAGCGACCTGTGGGCAGCTGGCCGGGCGGTGGCCCCTCCAGGTTCGCTCTCCGGTCTGGAGCTTTCTCTGGGTTCCCCGCGCGCACACTCGTGGACGGAGCAGACGCGTGCCCGCCGGCCAGCGGGTGGCCGCCTCTTTGGGGCGACAGGATGTCTCTGGAGGCAGCGCTGAGGAGGACCATCTTCTAGCCGTCCAGACGCCTGTGGAGACTTTGAGAAACCCAGATAATTCTCAGGAGCAGGCTTTGGATTTGAACTTGAACCTCTCCGGGCGCGGCCTCTGGACGGGGGAAAGGCGCCTTGGCCGAGGAAGCAGCCCCTGTCTCGCAGGCCGCCTCCCCGGCGGACACCTCTTGTTTTGCGGGAAGCGGGTCGCAGGCCTGGAGGAACGAAGAACAGCCTCTGCCCCGCCGCGGCCAATGTGAAACCCTGGGCCCCGCCGCCTCCGGTCGCCCTCCGAGCTCTTGGCGCCTCGGGTGTTCCGAGGATGCTCGGCCGCGCCCTCGGAGATGAGCTGAAGCTCGTAGGCGCGCGCGCGCAATGGGCCGGCTGCGGGGCCGCGCTTGTGCCCAGCGCGCACTCGGACGTCCCTGCTAATCTGTCCGGTGTCCCCGCAGGGGCCCTGGCTGGGAACGAAGGCGCCACCTACTCCCCAAAGATGGAAGATTGGGCCGGCGTGAACCGCACGGCCTTCCCGGCCACCTCGGCAGTGAACGGGCTGGAGAAACCGGCCTTGGAGGCGGACATCAAATACACTCAGGTAGCCGAGGGTCAGGGAAGGAGGTGTCCTTTCCTAGAGGGGCTGAAGCGCTGGGGGTGGGGAGGGAGGGAGAGAGAGAGAGAAGAGAAACTCAGCAGGTGTCCGGTCGCCGGGCCACCCAGCGCCCTCGCCCTGTCCCTTCCTTTCTCAAGCGCGCTACTTTGGGGGAGGCCGGCTTTTGAGGGAGTTGCCTTTTGCCAAGATACTTTTGCTACAAAAGCTTGAACCGGGAACGCAGATGGTCGAGGGCTCCCTGTCTTTAAATCCCCGCGGGTGAACACCTCGATGCCCCCCGTCTCATTATTTATACCAATTTGAATGGAAATCACTTTGCCAGAGTCCTTTCTAGGAAAACCAGAGGCCAAGCCTTGCGTGGGGATAACTGAGGGGACAGCAGAGGAAAAGAGCCCCCCCACCCCACCCCCAGTCCTGTAACTGTGTGTGCTGGAAGAGGCGGGTTGCCTGCTGCTGACTGTCTGTCTGTCCCTCTGTCCG